TCCCTTCACAGTTATGGCAACCCAAGCGAGCACAGCGTAGCAGGGCTTGATGCAGATGCGGCCCCATTGCTGTGTGTGTCTTGGGTTCCTACGTACTCCACACACCCAAATTCGTTTATGTCCTTTCCCATCTTTGCAGCTGCTTTTGATTTTCTGGAATGGTAACTATAATTTCCGAAACACCCTCTTTTTATTCTTGCTGCTTCCTTTGTTTGTAGCAGCCTTGTATGTTTGCTTTATATTGTGCATTTATTTCTCAGTGTACTATTTTATTAGTATTTTGATTTTCAATCAAATAAACTTCCTGGTTAAGCTACAGCCTGATTTATTCCTGAGAATTTCTCTAAGGGAAGAATCCTGGTATACAATTGGTGGAGATCTCGACAAGTTATCCTCCTCCCACTAAGCAAAAAGGTGTCTCCTTAGAGCTAATCACCCCCCCCCCAATCGGGAGACCTCCCCTTAAGTTAACAGCTAAATGATGGAAACATGGGCAGCACTCTGTGTCTCTGAGTAACATGGATTTGTGTAGTCTGCTTGAATCCAAGTGAGAATGGCAGACTATATATGACATAAATAATGTCCGGCCGAGGTTCCTCATCTCCCCAAGCCCTGCCCTCTCCACGGCTCAACCTCCAAATCTCCAGGAATCCTTCAATCTGAAATTGCGACGCTAGGAAGGTCTGGCCCCCCCTTGAGTCTTCCCTCAAAGGCCGAAGCAGCCTGCCCCCTCCCCCTGCCTTTTACTCACAGAAACCCAGTGTGGAATGCTGTGGTTGCCCAGCAACCGTCATTGAGGGAATCTGTTTCTTAAAGCTACAGGTTGTCGTGGAAATCACAGTTCTGTTGTCTAGCTGAAGGTCCAATATAGAAAGACAGCCATGAAACAAGTTTAAAAATTTATTTGCGAGGCAGATAGGTGATCACGCACGTTTTCAGGGTGGATTGCATACTTATAGAGTTTTAGACATGCACACTAAGAGTTAAATGTGTAACTTTCCTCCGCTTGCATCTGTACATCCTGTGATCTGTTTGTTGGAAACCACACTTTTCTCAGAATGGCTTACCCAGACCATCTTGTGGTTTTTTGTTGCTGAAGTTTGCTTCTTGCAAAACTGGCTTACAGATGTACTCTCAGTGCAGTCTGTCCTCCAAGCAAAGACAGGTTATATGGGGGGGGGGGTATAGCTGCCCTAATGCTCAGATGCACGTTCATATTTCAGTTGCCCCCATTGGTCCTCAAGGGCCCACAGGGCCCAAGGGTTTATCCTTAACTGAACATACTTGTCACCTACCGATTGTCTGTGGGGACAGCAAAACACAGACACAACAGCAGGACAAAGCAGCATACAGCAGCCTGCAAGACGTCGGGGCAATTCCGAAGCCCACAAGGGCCACATAATTTGCCTGATGCACCCAAAATCAAGTAACCAACCCGTTATTCGTGACCACAGGTCCGTCTGAGGGATTCCTGGACTAAGAGTGAGCTATTGGTGTCATTGACATGCACGCAGCACTCCTCCTGACCAATCAAGGCACAGGTTCCTCCCTTTGAGGCTGGGATAAAGTCGAGAGCCAGGCGATTCTGAAGAGCCAGCTGCCTAACCTCACACTCTTCTTGGACTATTGGCACAAGACTCTGCCCAGTTTCACTTGCCAGGCTCTCTAGGATCTCCCGATGGTGAATGATGGGCTTTTCTGGCACCCGCGTGGTGCTTGCCCAGGGAATTAAACAACACAAACTACAGTTTAACGATTTATAGCTTTCCTGGTTAGGGCAGGCAGCTTGGCATCTTCTGTAGTATCTTTGGGT